AGGGAAAGATTGTCATGACCAAGACAAGCAGGTACAAGGGGCTAGTTTTGGGTTCGTTTTTGGCACCTGAAATTGATATGATTTTTGGAGACGGAGTTGGGGCCTCCCTTGTATGTGTGTAATCTGTCTCCAGCAAGCTCTGGAAGCAACCTGTACATCACTGCAGCGAACAGAACTTCTGTCAGCAAGATTCGGGCATTACGCACGGATAGACTTAAATAGTCTACGCATCCGAGTCGAAGCCAGAGCTTACACAGCGGAACGTGCAGTTATTGACCAGCAGATACAGTTTATGCAAACAACTGTGCAACCATTGCCCTGCTTTTTTTGTGTTTGTTTGGGCTGTGTGTGTGTGTGGTTGCTGTTTTTGCTGTTTTTTTTTTCTGGTTTGTCCACCGGCTTAGTGACGGCCAATTGCGTTGGACAGAAAAACAAAAGTTTCTCCCCTTCAAGGTGGAGGGAAGGGGGGACACCCTTAATGACCCCTTAACCCCCTTAAGCCCCCGAGTCTAGCCCCCTTCTTCAAGCTCCCCTTCGACGAAGAGGTGGGCCCCGTGGACAATACGAAATTTGGCGACAAGCGTGTTAATGATTTAGATTTGCTTTAAGGTTGTGTTGGAGTTCCATGTTCTTTGCCTGTCCTTTTTGTTTTCAATGCTTTGTTTCTCTTCCTTCTGTCCGCGCGGAGATTTCATGGAGGAATGAGCACTTTTTTTGTGACACCTTCGTTGCAAACTTTTGAAAATATCTATGTGTTGCGCATTCTTTCGAGAAAGCCATGCCAGAACCACACCTTCGATCTGCTGTGTTTTCAAACCCCAATCAAATCTCAATTCTAGGCAGCGGAGGAAATCGTTCATTGCAGCAAAAAAAGAAATTAATTGCACTTTCCTTTTAAATACTTGCAAAAAAAAGAAATTAATTTGAACTCTCAAGAGTGTCTGATTGGACACCTATTCCGAGTTTGTTCGAGGTTTGTAGTTGTCCTCGTGGCTCAGTTGAAATCGCGGCGCTCTTGTGTCGCTTACAGACTGCCGGTGGTGGTTCGATTCCCCGCTGGTCCGCGAGTAAGACTCAAGTGCCGTAGACCCGCCGAAAGGCAACGGGCTCGGACAAAAAAAAAGGTTGCATGCTAGAGTACTGGCAGCCAGCGTGCTTTTGAGTACTGGCAGCCAGCGTGCTTTTCTTGAGTCTTTTCCGGGCGTCTTGATGCTTGCTTATGTTGCCGGAAGCGTTAGCACAGACTTCAATATTTGACAGAGAATAGCAAGTCCATCTGTCTCACAGGCAGTTTGCCATTCAGCAACTACTGCGTAGCAACTACTGCGTCAGTAGTCTGGCTGCTGGCTTTAGATTTCATTCTTGCTCGATGTGTATCCCCTTGCCCCCGGAATTTTAATTTTTGATGTTGTGCAAACGAGAAGCCTCTTAGATTGATCGCACACCGGCGCGTTCGATTTTTCACGTTTATGTTTGTATCAACATGGAGATGGCGACAGGCCGTGGTTGTTTTTTCTGCTTTTTGGTTTTTCAATATGGCATTGTGACTGCACTTCAGGACTGTGTAGTTGGTCCTCAGCCAGCCCCATGATTGTGTCCATCAATGCGCCGTGATGGCTTTTGAACACGACTCAATCGTTGCTTGTAATTCGTGCTGTGCATACGCGTTGTGCTCGACCTGGCGAAAGCCAAGAGGCGATGGACGGAAAAGGAGATGGCGACAGGCCACCAAACATGAGGATGACAATCACTTCATTGTCATTGAAGACACAGAGTTAGATAACTTGGGAGGTATGACTGTGGTTTGGATTAGGAAGACGAGCCTGATGATTTTCGTTTTGATTTTTCAGCGTTAAAAGAAGATGTTTTGAAACACTTGACAACTTTGGAACCCAACTTGCGTCCAAAAAAAAATTCAAGTTCAATTTGCTGGCTGATGCTGCTGAAATAGAAATGCAAGTGTTGCTCCAGCAAAGACCTACGACTGCAAAAGTCAGACACCCAAACGTTTGACCACACGTATGGCAGGAAGTTGGAGAGACAAGCATACCCAAGGCCAACATGTGTGGATGAGAAGATCACGCTACGTAGCCAGGGAATTTGCGTGGCTTTCGCCAGATCGCCAAGATCTCCTCTCTCCTGCAAGTTCAGTTCAGTCCTCACAGTACGTCATGAGATGGAGGTTATCCAACTATGTTCTTTGCTGCGCACAGATGCCTTTTTGATGGTTGAACAGAAAGAGTTGGCACAAGTGACATGCGAAGATGCTGCAGGTCAAACAACCGAGTTTATACTTGGAAGAGTGCTCCCGAGACAAAGATTGGATCTCAGGACTCAGATGTGGCATGAATCCTTTGGCACTTTGCTGAAGGTGGAGCTTGGGTTTGAAGAGTGCGAACCACACCGGTGGATGCAAATGTTTGCTGATGCTGCACGTGGATGATGTTCTGTGCCCCAGCATCAAAGACTACTTGGAGTGTGTCTTGCTGCGTGCCTTGAAAGCCAAGTACATTGGATCTCTTGCGAAAAGGTCGAGAATCCCGGAGACGTGTTCACCTTCCTGAAGAGAAGGCCCATGTTGTTGAGTGAGAATGAAATGGTTCTGCAAAGCCATCCAAAACACTTGGAACGCTTGTTAACTTGAGGCACATCAAAAAAACAACTTGAAACCCAAACGTACGCCAGGACATCACATGTTGGATGAACCAGGTGAAACTGCAGAACGGGGCCCTAGCGATGCAAGCACTTAACAGGTCATGCGTGGGAGTGTTGCTCGAATGTTACACTATACGAGGTTTGTCCCAATGTATGTCACGACCAGCTGTCCATGCCCTTGCATGGTGGACACTTGTGCATGTACTTGCTTGGATGCATTGACCATTGCATCGTGCTCTCGTACAAGGCCCACTTCGGCTTGCTTACAATGATGTGAACTACACCTTGGAGGTGTATTCGGATAGCAATTGGGCAAAGCACAAAACTACAAGACGTTCAGTTTCTTCAGAATGGTTTTTTTCTTTGGCAATTTGCTTTACTCCGCGTCCAGGACGCAGAAGGTTCTGGCTTTGAGCTCGGCCGAAGCCGAGATCTACTCTGCTGCTGGTGATTGCTGCGATGGTGTGTGTTGATGTAGCATTGTCTTTCATTTGCGATTGGCTCAGAACTGCAGGTGAAGTTTCAACTTTGCATCGGCAATGCTGCTGAGAGGGCATTCTTTTGCCGCTCAGGCGTATAAGGCACATAAGCCTTCGAATACTCTGGGTGCAATCAAAGGAGTGAAAGAACATTTTTTGAGCATAGGACGAGTTGGAACAAGAGACAATGCATCAGATATTGGCACAAAACATGTGACCAGAGAACGTATGCTGTATCTCGTGTTTCTTTGCAAGATATATGATTTGCCCTCTTCAAATTTTGTTGGCCCTGAAATGGATGAAAATATGAAACAGCAGGACATGATGAACAAGGTGTCAAAACCTTCACAAAAGTTGGAGTTTCCCCACGAGACTCAAAACGCTTGATGCGTTTCTCGTTGCTCAGCGCCTTGGGCCTACCTGACGTGATGGCTTTGGAAATTGACATGGTGGCAGCTGTTTTTTTTACTCCTTTGTTGTTTTGGTGGCAGATGGTATGCGCCCTGTTGATCACAGCGCTTTGCATTGCCATTGGTCTGGTTTTCCATTTGCAGCATGAGATTGACCTTTTGCAAGGCAAGTGCGCCAAACTTTCTCAAGACTCAATGCTCCACGAGGTGCTTGACTTGTTGAAAGGATATAAATTAATAAAGATGAAATGTTGGGAAATGAACATGAAACAGGGGAAAAAAATCAAAAAAATGAATGTAGACCCGATTGTTGAAACGTCGCCTGAACCTGCTACTGGTACTGATGGTCGACCCCATGGAGAACCACCAAATGGAACTGATCGGCTTCGCGGAATGCAGGATACGAATGCAGTCTTGCAGATTCGATATGAGCGGTTGAGGCTGAGTATGGCTCAACTGAGATTGTCCAGGATGAGGACCTGATGTACCAGGTACCAACTGCAGAACCAGATGGACGAACTTGCGCACCTGTTTTATGACATTTGAAATGGATGAGTGAGACGTAGAACTTTCGAAGGAATCCATGCCTTCGCAATGTCAAGGCGGGGTGAGAAACATTTGCCCCAACTACATAGCAGTACACACATGGTTGCATTGTACTGTTTGCATGTGGCATTGCGTAGCATAGCCTTCAGCCCTGCAGTCCGTTGTTACAGTTTGCAGTGCGTGCACAAAGGCATGATCGTGAGGCGTTTCGTGACCGAGCAAAATAAAAACAACCCCAATCACGGAGAATTCCACTTCTCCTGTCGCTCCTTTTGCTCAATACCGTACAAACCCCCAATGTGGCTACACTGTTTGGGGGAAAAGGGGTGTCAGTGGTGCATGCGACCGCATTGTATTTGACATTTGAACTTGAACAGTGCGCATCACACAGATGGAACAACAACGTTTTGTATCTGTGATTGTGCCGATTTTTTGGTTAAATTTCGTTTGACTATGACTATTGTGGTCTTGACATCCGTAATTCTGATGTTTGACGTTTCTGCTTGGGTTCAGATTGTTTCAGAGATCGAAACCATGGTCTTAAGACTTTCAAACAAACGCCCAAATTCATGGGGTGGCAGCCGTGATAGGCTCAACCGAAGCCACTCCTTGGTGCACAGGGAGCGCGCGCTTCAAAACAATGGGAGCCAACAAAGTTGCATGGATCCCCGATGTGCATGGGAATCTGCAGTCCAAAAGTGCATGTAAACCAACCTGTTGTGTTCGTACAATTTACCATTCCAACATGTCTCAATTTGTCTTCAATGCACCAAATTTGTGATGAAACTTCTTGAAATCCGCAGTGATGCAGAATGGCATGTTTAATTTGTGGGATTCCGTTTAGAATTTCCATTCAGACAAAAAAAATGTGAATGAAACGGTAACTGCAAAAGTTCAGACGGCACGTGGTATGGCCCAGGTGCAGAAGTCCAAGGAGGCCAAGATGAAGGCCGCCATGGCTGGTGGCAAGTCCCGCAAGAAGAAGTGGGCCAAGGGCAAGGCGCCGGGCAGGGAATGAAGCACCAGATTGGGGATTCGGGTAACCAGATGGAAAATCCTGTTTTTTTTTTGATGTTTTTTTTTGGATTTGAAGATGTGAAACCAAAAGGAACTGCATTTGAAATGTGTCGACATGTTCAAGAACTCGTTTTCATATGTTTTCATGGGATTCGAAAAATCCGATCTTGGCGTATTTTTTAAATGAATTAGTTCATGCAAAATCACACAAACAATCCCTTCACATCATACCCCCCAAAAATGGTTTCACCATCTGTGCTAAGTTAAATTGTTCACAGTGGATTTCCCCCTTGGCACAACAAACGACTGATTGCCGCTTGTGGTGAGGTTAAGGAGAAACTGGCGAACTTGGTGATGTTCGACAAGGTGGTGAAACGCGAGTGGTTTCGAGATGTTTCTTTGTTGGGGGCACGCAAACGGGGCGCCCCCAATTTCCACTACTAATTGGCATACTTCGAATTTGGGACATTCCCAACTTTAGTCAAATGGTTTGTAGTTGGATATCGTTTTTTCAGAAAATGGACTAACCCCTTAAATTCCAGTCATTTAATGTCATTGATCCACGGTTTCATCATTTCATATCATTTCCCCGTGGTATTTCCATCCCATCCGATGGGGGTGAACACCGAAGCTGCCAGGCCACCTACGACAAAATGTTGAAGGAGATCCCCAAGGTGCCAAGTGATGGCGAATTGTAAACCTATGAAAATTATCGTATTATGGTGGGTTATATCAAAACATATAATAATTTAGATCAAATTATGTCAAATGATGTCAAATGATATTCAATTATTTTCCATATCTCTTTTTGGGTTGCTTTGATCCCATGATTTTCTCCAGAGGTCCCTATTTTGATTGTCCAGCCCAGGCCAGGCTGATCACGCCCTCCGTGGTCAGTGAGCGTCTCAAGGTGAACGGCTCCGTGGCACGTCAGGCCATCCGACACCTGGAGGACAGGGCAGGGGCCGTCGCCATGGGACCCCGAGGTACCAGGTAAGGACAACCATGAGGCTGGACTTGAGATGACTTGAGATTTTAGGGCCACATTTTGGATGGGGCATGATGGGCCCAAGATGTCCAGCATTTTGCCGTTTTGCTGATGAATTTCTGGCGCCAAAGGAGAAGGGCATGATCGCGCATGTCGGCGAGAAGTGCCTTGGTTGAACAGTAACATCGACCATGCTCCAACCATGTTGTCATTTTGTCTAACTTGGGAACCCCCTTTTGACTGTTGAAATGGGTCCAATAAACATCGAATTTCAGGACTTTTTTTGGGTCCGCACTTGCTTTTGGAGCCAGCAAATTCTAATTTCCAGCAGCCGATCAGCGCTTGCGGGGCGCAAAGAATTTTGTAAAGCTGCTGAAATCCAGTCTTCAGTTGCAGCTGTCATCCTTCAGGTCCAGCAAGCAGATGATCTACACCCGCAAGATTGGTGGCGCAGAGGTCAGATGGGACTCGGCTTCCATTTTTTGGGTCTCAAACATCGCCGTGATGGCAAGTGATGGTGAAGAAATAGTGCATGTTCTGTTTGATATGTTTGATGGATTGAACATGATTAAACATGATTAAACATGATTAAACCTACATCATCCATAGCTCGACACCTGCCACAGGATTGAATTGAGAGTGACCTGAGCGGTTTGACAGCGGCGAATGGCGAGAGAAAAACTGGCGAGCACATCCCACAGTAGGTTACTGGCAGGTCTCTGGAGTGGAACTGGCTTTATCCAAAAATTGGGGATAGCTCACAATTGCCATTGTATATATATATATACATATATATTAATATATATATATATACATATTAATATATATATTAATATATATACACCTGGGGGCCATACTTCGGAAGCCTCAAAGCAGCACAGAAAGCGGTCTCATTTTTTGGCCCGCGCAAATTGACTGACCAGCAATGCCATCACGCCTTCAGCAGCATCCTGCGGCGAGCAAAGATGGAGCATATATTGGATTGCCCGGACAATGCGCTTAGTCAACATGGGGTTACAACTCCTGCTGGGCCAATCACAAAAACCGAAAAGGGATGCATCTTCAAGGTAATGGGTGCTTCTCTGCACAACACATGAAGCTCTCTTTTTTGGGCCCGCAAAAGTCGCACGAAAATTCAAAGGCATCGTCCATCATTGCCTCAATCTCCTCATCACAAGGCCATGGCATGAGAGGTTCCTGCAATGCAGCTGCGCCAGTTGCGACAGAAGCAGGAAGATTTCCATCAGGAGTGTTCTTGCTCGCAGCAGCTGTGCCAGATTCGGCTGAAGCAGGAAAATTTTCACCAGAAAAGCTCGAAGAACAATCCTGGCGCCACTCACACCCACTGAAAACATAACATTGGAAACGCCCATCCAAAGGAGGCAGAAGGTCCCAAAGCACTAGTGCAGACATCTCTTATGAATTCAACCATGTTTGATAACATCGCATTCAAAACAAAATAGGAACATGATTATGCTGTTGGCCTCCTTTGGATGGCCGTTTGTAACGTTCCGTTTTGCATGGACCAGCCGGTCCTCGGACTTGAACACCTTCTTCGAACACTCCACCCAGACTGTGCGTCTGTCGATGGCACCCTTGTGGTTGGGCGTGAAATATTCCACTGGCCAGAACTACTTCAAAGCTTGCAGAAACGTACTTCCCAGTACTACTTTGTACTACAAAGCTTGCAGGAACGTACTTCCCAGTACTACTCTGTACTACAAAGCTTGCGGAAACGTACTCCCCAGTACTACTTTGTACTACAAAGCTTGCAGGAACGTACTTTCCAGTACTACTTTGTACTACAAAGCTTGCAGAAATGCACTTCTTTGTACTACAACTCTTGCAGGAAATGGGAACACAGGTTCACCAAATACTGCGCTTGCCACGAAAAATGACAATCTGAAGCATCCTGGAATCAGCATGAGATGGCCAGTTCCAATGCGATTTACGATTTGCTAGGAAAGCATGCGCGGCCAAAATCGAAGCACTCCCCGCACGAAAACCAAAATCATAACGTTGGAATCCAACGTTACGATCCGTTTTTGGCGACAGTTTCACAAAAAAGTGGAAATCATAACGTTGGAACGCGTTTGAAATAGAATATAATATTCTTTTTTTGGCCGCATCCAACGTTACGATTTCGACTTTTGTCCCACACCTGCCACGAAAAACAAGCATAACGTTGGAATCCAACGTTACGATTTCGGCGTTTGTCCCACGCCTGCCACGAAAACTCGGACCAGAGGCTCACCAAATACTGCGCCTGCCACGAAAAGAGCAATTAGGGGCTTACCAAGTACTGCGCCTGCCACGAAAACTGGGACCAGAGGTTCACCAACTATTGCGCCTGCCACGAAAAATGGAATTAGGGGTTTACCAAATACTGCGCCCACCACGAGAAGTGGGACCAGAGGTTCACCAAATACTGCGCCTGCCACGAGAAATGCATTTAAGGGCTTACCAAATACTGCGCCCACCACGAAAACTGGGACCAATTCGTGGCAAGCTGGAATCCAAGATTGATTGCAAATTTTCGAACATATGAATGAAACCGGGTGCCTTTGTCACACCTACGGCTGATTTTTGCACACATGCACACACCTGACCTCATTCCATATCTGCTTTGTGGCGGCCTTCAGCTGCTGCTTTAAAACCAGCCTTTCAGCACGCAAGCCGGGCAGCTGATCTGGCACAGCTGCGCGCACTGGCACAGCCGCGCCATCAGGTCTTCCGTCTGCACCATTGCCAGCTGCGCTTTCATCATTTGCTGTGTCAGACATGTTGACTGAACTGCGAAGCAGCAATATCTGTGAGTCTGAAAAAGGCTGCGTCGAAGCATGTGTCCACAAGTCTGATGCTGTCTTGGGACTGCAACATAAATGGGGCTGGTTTGAGAGCCCCAAAAACGGTCACACTTGAAGCTTCAATATGATGGACCCTTGCAGTGCGGCAATTAACGCACACACACACACACAACAGTGCCCCAGCTTGCTCACGCAAACTCGCATCTCAGCTTTTCATGCCCTGCTTCACTAAGTACAATCTGCTGAACAGCAGCTTTTTAAAGCAGGCTCGCATAAGCGTAGCCCATCTTTCGCCGCTTCGGCCAGATCATTTGCACTTCCTCCTTGGTCGGTTTCACCGCCGCAGGAAAAGAAACAGGGTGTGCCATAAAAGAAGCCAGGGCTGAGTGTAAATGTGAAACATCCCGGGAGGTCCCGACAGACTTGAAGGCCCCCGACCAGTTGTGGCATGCAAAGCACTCTTTGTGTGCTTGCGAAATTTGCCAAAGTCAAGCCAATGGTTCTGGCTGCCCCTCTGCAGCTGTCTGCCTCTGTTCTCGGTACTTCTGACGCAAGTACGACTTGAAGCGCCAAAAGGCGAAGACGTCCAAAGGCTGGAGTAAACTTGTTGTAGATGCTGGTATATATAGTAATTGAAATCCATGTCGCTTTGCCGCTACTAAAATAGTTTTCGGCAGGTGTGGGCACGCGCAGTCCCACATTATGACTGGTGAGATGCCTGCGAGAAAAGGCATGAGCGCCTTTTTCACGGCTTGTAAAATCACCAGCATGCAATCAGCTGTGACCCAAGATGACTTGCCACGAATGATTTGCAGCTGCGTACGAGGCAAAGCGTTGTACGCTCTCAGCAAAGAGCTCGGTAGCCTCGTCTGGGAGCTAATCAAGAAATGAGGAAGAAATGGTTGTATACTTGGATCACTGCAAATCAGAGCGCAGTATGTGTAAGCGCCGCGCCGGCGATCCTTTCTGATCTTCATGTGTGGCACTTCTGGATGTTTCTTCCAATGCTTCGCGTTTACTATGCACCCCGCCCCCGGTAGTGGGGAATATGCTATTGAAGTCTCGTCAAAGTTGATCCAAAGAATCTTGCCAGTGACCTTCTCGGTGATGTAGGAAATGCTCTTCCAGAAGACATTGATCTGCCATGGTCGGAAAAATCTTGCAATGAAGTCTCACCAAAAACAGACAAAATTGTTTCCAAATGCGGCCCCAAAATTGAGACCGTTTTTGGGCCCCAAAATTGCTTCCCCCACTTAAACAAGACCACAATTCGGGACTCCCAGGCGGTCCCAAAAATAGGACCTGACATCCAAAGTTTGCAGGCCTTCTGCTGCAAGTCTTCCGGATTGATTTGGCCAATCGGCCGCAAGCGCCCCCTTCGCACGGCCCAACGAGCACGCCATCGAGCAACCCATTTGTTCACAGTTCGTTTATGAGGCCGCCCACTTGGAATCTTACAGGCATTGCAGGATTCAAAGCGGCTAAACACTTCTGCTGCACACGGAGCCACGCCGTTGGCAAGGTTCTGTGCATGAACCCAACGCCAAACCTCCTGTTCCCCAAGGAAGACGCGAGCAAATTTCAGAGCCCTTGCCCAAGCCATGTTGGCTTCGTCATGCATGCAAAGAAGATCGTCTAAATCAATATCCAAAAACAGTTGCCGAACCAAAGTCTTGCTGGGGAAATTCACATCTGCTGGGGGTAACGTTGACAAATGTCTTGCAGCTTCCTCCGCCGTCGCCAGATCCCACGAAGAAAGCATGTACACTGCCAGCACCCTTTTGACAGCTGTCACTGATAACCCCCCATGTTCCAAGCGCAGCTTGTTGCGCCGTGCAGCTTGCTCACAACTCCGCAAGCGCAACCTGTTTTCATGCAAAGAAGCTTTCAATGCCTCACAACGCTCCGCTGCTGCCATGGCGTGCCTTTGGCCGCGCCCGGCCACAGCTTTTAGCAAGTTTCCATGTGTATATATACCCTTGCCACACTTGCGTAGACATGAAAGTACTAGAAAGTACAAGTTAACATCATATAGATCATGCCTGTGTGTTTTCCTGCGCATTCTTGACACAGCCTCTCATGGACATGACAGAAACCCCTTCGCTAAGAGGGTATAGCCAAATGTCAGCGAAGCAGAATAAAGAATCACGCTTTGTTTTCAGCTACATCTTCTTTTTACGACCAAAACAGTTGACCCTATAGGGAGCCATGCGTTGTGAACACCTTATTGACTGAAATAAACAAAGTTTGGCCAGATTAGTGGTCACACTCTCCCGCCCAGATATTACGGCAAGCATGGCTGGGTCTCCAAAAACTCCTGCCAAGACAAATTGAAAAAAGCGGCGAGCGACACACACACACACACAGTGCGGCAATTAACGCACACACACACACAACAGTGCCCCAGCTTGCTCACGCAAACTCGCATCTCAGCTTTTCATGCCCTGCTTCACTAAGTACAATCTGCTGAACAGCAGCTTTTTAAAGCAGGCTCGCATAAGCGTAGCCCATCTTTCGCCGCTTCGGCCAGATCATTTGCACTTCCTCCTTGGTCGGTTTCACCGCCGCAGGAAAAGAAACAGGGTGTGCCATAAAAGAAGCCAGGGCTGAGTGTAAATGTGAAACATCCCGGGAGGTCCCGACAGACTTGAAGGCCCCCGACCAGTTGTGGCATGCAAAGCACTCTTTGTGTGCTTGCGAAATTTGCCAAAGCCAAGCCAATGGTTCTGGCTGCCCCTCTGCAGCTGTCTGCCTCTGTTCTCGGTACTTCTGACGCAAGTACGACTTGAAGCGCCAAAAGGCGAAGACGTCCAAAGGCTGGAGTAAACTTGTTGTAGATGCTGGTATATATAGTAATTGAAATCCATGTCGCTTTGCCGCTACTAAAATAGTTTTCGGCAGGTGTGGGCACGCGCAGTCCCACATTATGACTGGTGAGATGCCTGCGAGAAAAGGCATGAGCGCCTTTTTCACGGCTTGTAAAATCACCAGCATGCAATCAGCTGTGACCCAAGATGACTTGCCACGAATGATTTGCAGCTGCGTACGAGGCAAAGCGTTGTACGCTCTCAGCAAAGAGCTCGGTAGCCAAGTCTGGGAGCTAATCAAGAAATGAGGAAGAAATGGTTGTATACTTGGATCACTGCAAATCAGAGCGCAGTATGTGTAAGCGCCGCGCCGGCGATCCTTTCTGATCTTCATGTGTGGCACTTCTGGATGTTTCTTCCAATGCTTCGCGTTTACTATGCACCCCGCCCCCGGTAGTGGGGAATATGCTATTGAAGTCTCGTCAAAGTTGATCCAAAGAATCTTGCCAGTGACCTTCTCGGTGATGTAGGAAATGCTCTTCCAGAAGACATTGATCTGCCATGGTCGGAAAAATCTTGCAATGAAGTCTCACCAAAAACAGACAAAATTGTTTCCAAATGCGGCCCCAAAATTGAGACCGTTTTTGGGCCCCAAAATTGCTTCCCCCACTTAAACAAGACCACAATTCGGGACTCCCAGGCGGTCCCAAAAATAGGACCTGACATCCAAAGTTTGCAGGCCTTCTGCTGCAAGTCTTCCGGATTGATTTGGCCAATCGGCCGCAAGCGCCCCCTTCGCACGGCCCAACGAGCACGCCATCGAGCAACCCATTTGTTCACAGTTCGTTTATGAGGCCGCCCACTTGGAATCTTACAGGCATTGCAGGATTCAAAGCGGCTAAACACTTCTGCTGCACACGGAGCCACGCCGTTGGCAAGGTTCTGTGCATGAACCCAACGCCAAACCTCCTGTTCCCCAAGGAAGACGCGAGCAAATTTCAGAGCCCTTGCCCAAGCCATGTTGGCTTCGTCATGCATGCAAAGAAGATCGTCTAAATCAATATCCAAAAACAGTTGCCGAACCAAAGTCTTGCTGGGGAAATTCACATCTGCTGGGGGTAACGTTGACAAATGTCTTGCAGCTTCCTCCGCCGTCGCCAGATCCCACGAAGAAAGCATGTACACTGCCAGCACCCTTTTGACAGCTGTCACTGATAACCCCCCATGTTCCAAGCGCAGCTTGTTGCGCCGTGCAGCTTGCTCACAACTCCGCAAGCGCAACCTGTTTTCATGCAAAGAAGCTTTCAATGCCTCACAACGCTCCGCTGCTGCCATGGCGTGCCTTTGGCCGCGCCCGGCCACAGCTTTTAGCAAGTTTCCATGTGTATATATACCCTTGCCACACTTGCGTAGACATGAAAGTACTAGAAAGTACAAGTTAACATCATATAGATCATGCCTGTGTGTTTTCCTGCGCATTCTTGACACAGCCTCTCATGGACATGACAGAAACCCCTTCGCTAAGAGGGTATAGCCAAATGTCAGCGAAGCAGAATAAAGAATCACGCTTTGTTTTCAGCTACATCTTCTTTTTACGACCAAAACAGTTGACCCTATAGGGAGCCATGCGTTGTGAACACCTTATTGACTGAAATAAACAAAGTTTGGCCAGATTAGTGGTCACACTCTCCCGCCCAGATATTACGGCAAGCATGGCTGGGTCTCCAAAAACTCCTGCCAAGACAAATTGAAAAAAGCGGCGAGCGACACACACACACACACACACACACCTGGGGGCCATACTTCGGAAGCCTCAAAGCAGCACAGAAAGCGGTCTCATTTTTTGGCCCGCGCAAATTGACTGACCAGCAATGCCATCACGCCTTCAGCAGCATCCTGCGGCGAGCAAAGATGGAGCATATATTGGATTGCCCGGACAATGCGCTTAGTCAACATGGGGTTACAACTCCTGCTGGGCCAATCACAAAAACCGAAAAGGGATGCATCTTCAAGGTAATGGGTGCTTCTCTGCACAACACATGAAGCTCTCTTTTTTGGGCCCGCAAAAGTCGCACGAAAATTCAAAGGCATCGTCCATCATTGCCTCAATCTCCTCATCACAAGGCCATGGCATGAGAGGTTCCTGCAATGCAGCTGCGCCAGTTGCGACAGAAGCAGGAAGATTTCCATCAGGAGTGTTCTTGCTCGCAGCAGCTGTGCCAGATTCGGCTGAAGCAGGAAAATTTTCACCAGAAAAGCTCGAAGAACAATCCTGGCGCCACTCACACCCACTGAAAACATAACATTGGAAACGCCCATCCAAAGGAGGCAGAAGGTCCCAAAGCACTAGTGCAGACATCTCTTATGAATTCAACCATGTTTGATAACATCGCATTCAAAACAAAATAGGAACATGATTATGCTGTTGGCCTCCTTTGGATGGCCGTTTGTAACGTTCCGTTTTGCATGGGCCAGCCGGTCCTCGGACTTGAACACCTTCTTCGAACACTCCACCCAGACTGTGCGTCTGTCGATGGCACCCTTGTGGTTGGGCGTGAAATATTCCACTGGCCAGAACTACTTCAAAGCTTGCAGAAACGTACTTCCCAGTACTACTTTGTACTACAAAGCTTGCAGGAACGTACTTCCCAGTACTACTCTGTACTACAAAGCTTGCGGAAACGTACTCCCCAGTACTACTTTGTACTACAAAGCTTGCAGGAACGTACTTTCCAGTACGACTTTGTACTACAAAGCTTGCAGAAATGCACTTCTTTGTACTACAACTCTTGCAGGAAATGGGAACACAGGTTCACCAAATACTGCGCCTGCCACGAAAAATGACAATCTGAAGCATCCTGGAATCAGCATGAGATGGCCAGTTCCAATGCGATTTACGATTTGTTAGGAAAGCATGCGCGGCCAAAATCGAAGCACTCCCCGCACGAAAACCAAAATCATAACGTTGGAATCCAACGTTACGATCCGTTTTTGGCGACAGTTTCACAAAAAAGTGGAAATCATAACGTTGGAACGCGGTTTGAAATAGAATATAATATTCTTTTTTTGGCCGCATCCAACGTTACGATTTCGACTTTTGTCCCACACCTGCCACGAAAAACAAGCATAACGTTGGAATCCAACGTTACGATTTCGGCGTTTGTCCCACGCCTGCCACGAAAACTCGGACCAGAGGCTCACCAAATACTGCGCCTGCCACGAAAAGAGCAATTAGGGGCTTACCAAGTACTGCGCCTGCCACGAAAACTGGGACCAGAGGTTCACCAACTATTGCGCCTGCCACGAAAAATGGAATTAGGGGTTTACCAAATACTGCGCCCACCACGAGAAGTGGGACCAGAGGTTCACCAAATACTGCGCCTGCCACGAGAAATGCATTTAAGGGCTTACCAAATACTGCGCCCACCACGAAAACTGGGACCAATTCGTGGCAAGCTGGAATCCAAGATTGATTGCAAATTTTCGAACATATGAATGAAACCGGGTGCCTTTGTCACACCTACGGCTGATTTTTGCACACATGCACACACCTGACCTCATTCCATATCTGCTTTGTGGCGGCCTTCAGCTGCTGCTTTAAAACCTGCCTTTCAGCACGCAAGCCGGGCAGCTGATCTGGCACAGCTGCGCGCACTGGCACAGCCGCGCCATCAGGTCTTCCGTCTGCACCATTGCCAGCTGCGCTTTCATCATTTGCTGTGTCAGACATGTTGACTGAACTGCGAAGCAGCAATATCTGTGAGTCTGAAAAAGGCTGCGTCGAAGCATGTGTCCACAAGTCTGATGCTGTCTTGGGACTGCAACATAAATGGGGCTGGTTTGAGAGCCCCAAAAACGGTCACACTTGAAGCTTCAATATGATGGACCCTTGCAGTATATATATAAATATTTATATACTATATAGTCTAAAACGGTAAAAAAGTGGATTTTGGTAATTAAAACTTATCCTCCCAGTGAATGTGGCCATAGCATGTGAAGGGGAACGTCCTTTGAGATTATTCGGCTCTGTATACTGTAGTCTTCCGCGCACAGAAAGTGTATTTTTTTCGTGTGCTGAAGTGCAGGTTGCTCCCATTCATTTGACTATGTCCAAAAATAGAGTATATGAGTATATGTTATTGTAACCCAACGTAACAGAGTCTGAGAGGGGAAAACATAAACCATTGGATTTTAGGGAATGCCCGTATATGTTATAATTTCATAACTCAACATAGAGCTTGAGTGGGGAAAACCATTTTAACAAACCATTGGTATGTCGCATGAAAACCATGCCCCATGCAGAAACAGGTCTCTCTGCTTCGTTTCTTCTTTGGTTCAGGGCCAACAGTGTCGTTTACCGGGCTGTCCTTGGGGTGACCCGGTGACCACCCTCGCCATGGGCGCCAACAAGGTTGCGGGGAGCCTTGGTTGCTGTCTCCGTAAAAGGCGGCCCCTCCAAAATGGGATACCAAATGGGATACCGAATGGGATACTCTTTGGTGTATCTCATTTTGATGATGTTTGAAGCCATGATATCAATGCATTCAGTGCATCCCAATGATTCTTGATTGATGTATACTATCACCAATATCACGGTACAGAAGACGTACAATTCATTGGCACCTTGACCCAGGTGCAGAAGTCCAAAGAGGCCAAGATGAAGGCCGCCATGGCTGGTGGCAAGTCCCGCAAGAAGAAGTGGGCCAAGGGCAAGGCACCGGGGAAGTTGGGACGGGTGCTCCAAAAAGCTGGGGGTTTTGCCAAAAGTGGCCAAAGAAGGGCCAATCGACGACGGTTTCAGAGTCCATATACAATCCTTCATCTATCACTTGTTATGAATGACCATGGTTATCGATCCAGTGGATATTTATTGATGAGTCATGATCAGTAGATATTCATATAATAAAATTCATTTGATAGTAGTTTTGGTGGCCTTAGGTCAAGGAGTTCAACAAATGACTGGTCGGTAGGTCAAGGAAAAGCTGGCGAACCTGGTGATGTTTGACAAGGCGCTGAGAAGCTACGGCAAGGGCTAGGCAATTGGGATGTGGCTACGGGGTGTTTCCAAGGGTCCCAAGGATGGGGCCATGGCCACAGATCCATGAAACTGGAAATTCTTGAATCTTTATACCATTTTGTACAATGTTATAACTTAATTATAACATGTTATAACCAAAATGTAAAAAAATAGATCCTCACTTTTTGGGAACGTGGACTTAACTTACCACCAAAACCTACCGGTGAATTACTGTATCATATTCCGATATTCCCCATGAAATTTTGTGATGTGGCAATGAAATGGGTAACCGCGTATGCCTCTGAAACTCAGACACACCCAGGTGCGTTTAGACTCGCCTTCCGATTCTCCAAACTCCAAAGCATGAAGGTGTTCTTGTGAGCTTTCCTATGGATGTAGTACAAGATTTACAATCCCAAGTGCAGTCTCAGGGATTTTTCAATGCGGACCTTGGGGGATTTCTCACAGCATGGCTTGGATGATTGCTGGGCTGTGGCTATTTACAGGGCCATCTTGCAGCGTCTCAGGCCACCTACGACAAGATGCTCAAGGAGATTCCAAAGGCCCCTGGAAGGATGGCAAAACCTCAACTTCAACCCCTGGGTCCAGGTCATTTTGCCAAAGTTTCACCTCTAAAATGCTTGAGGAATATCAAATGGCCTTCCCAACCATCAGTCTATGCAGCAGGAAATTCCTTGCTGCAATGCATTGCTGAATGAAGGTAGTTCTAGAAATTTGGAGTCGCGCAGAAGGACCGTTCAAAGATGCTCACCGTTTCTAGTAGATCCATGGCCCCTGACTGTGGCATTGATGGGCAATGAAAAGTTAAGATGCCGCATGCTGCAGAAAGCTATGATGTTAATTCACCTGTAATGCCTGTAATTTGCTGATTTACCTACTGTAGGAAAACGTCTTTTTTGTGACGAGAGCGACAAGAGTATCAACATTTTGCCGTGAAATACACCTTTTTGCCATGGGTACAGTGATGAGGGTCTATGTAGATGGTCATGGCCAAAAACGACTTCCCTGAATCCACTGGCTTTACCCATCCATTTCTGGGATACCCAATTTCGAGCCATCCCCAGGTGGTCAAAATAGAGGATGCGGATGGGCTGTTTAAAGATATTTCAAGAGGACATCTACAACGACAGGAATGCATTCCACCACCATTCCACCAACTCTGCGTGTGCAGGCCAGGCTGATCACGCCCTCCGTGGTCAGTGAGCGTCTCAAGGTGAACGGCTCCGTGGCGCGTCAGGCCATCCGACACCTGGAGGACCCGGATCAGGGCCTGGAGTGGTCCATGGTCTGGTGTGGCTTGGTGTGAATTTTGTTTGTGGATGGATTTAGCATCAGTTTGTATCAGTTTATCAGATGATTATATAATTATATAATTATATAAATTATATATATATATATTAATTATGTAATGTATGTTTATATCAGTTTACCAACAATTTATCATCCTTTTACATCAGTGACCATCAAATTTCCATGGTCTATCAGTCTATATGAGTTACTGTAACCATCATTCTCCCCACTAAAATTTGCAAGGCAACCTCCGTTTTCAGCCAAAACCTGGTTTTCAGACTTATGGGTTGCGTGCGCAGCTTCCGGCTTCGGATGCGGATGGTGTAGCCTGAAATGGGGTTGCATGGTTCTGTGGTAACAAAGAGAGATCCTCAATGAAACGTGCTTGACTTGGAACCACATCATGGATCAGTTTCCAAGATATTGTTTTTTTTCCTCCAGGGCTCTTGGCCAGCCTTGACCATCAACCGTCAATCATTTCTCCAATCATTTCTCGGAGGAGAAGGGCATGATTGCCCACGTGGGCGAGAAGTGTCTTGGACAAAGCTGCCTGGAAGGTGGCAGGAAAAGTGGAGTTTTTCCCATTCAAAGGGGAAAACATCATGATTTTCTAGCGTTTATTTGGACTATTTAAGAGGGAATTCAATGGTTTCTTGATGTTTCTTGTGCCATCTTTTCTTGCTACAATGGTGGGCAGCTGGGGCGACGGATTCTTGAGGTCCAGCAAGCAGATGATCTACACCCGAAAGATCGGTGGTGGCGAGGATGTGGTTTGGTGATGTTTTAGTCAATGGTTTTTAGTCAATGGTTTTTAGTCAATGGTTTTTTGACCCTCCAAGATTAGGACACCCGCAGGTTTGAGGGGCCGAGTTTTGGAACATCTCCCGTGCCTTTGCAGGACTAAAGTGACTGTTGGTTGAGCAAAGGTAGCTGCGGAGAAAAATCGATGGCTCTTTGTCCCGTGGTGCAAGTGAGGTGATTGGCACAGGTGCATGTCTTCGCTTTATGTGGATTTTCTTTGTGGAAACTGTGGCAGCAGGGGAGACCTAAATCATGAATAATCATGATATATCATGAATGAATTCAGAGTCATAAGCGCTCCTTCATGCATTTAGCCTTATCTATCTCCGAATTGTCTAGGATTCGCTGAATTGAAGGGTGGAAGGATAGGATTTGTGAAGCTATGAACCTTGCACTGACAGAGCGGCAAAAGTTTGAGATAGAGATACGAGAATCCTTTGCGACTGCAATCGCTGGCGCCAGAATTGTTTGCTCTGGGTCGAACTTGTGAAACTTATTTAGCAAGTCAAAAAAGTCAATTCATTGAATTAAGGGAACATCAGTTGCGAATGGGACAGCATGCAGCTACAAGAGTGATGAGTTCAGAACTGCAGAGTTCAGAACTGCATCAGAACAGAATATATTTTGTTTTGCCATTGGATTCAAGAAGTCGGGAGAGTCAACTCAAGGACTCCTAAAACTCGACGAATTTGTTGATTTGCTGTGGCCATGATATGCAAACACAACCATCGTATATCCCCTACGTATGCATATACGCATGAATCCCAAAGAAAAGGCACATCCCTTTTTCCACCTTCCCTACATGGCCAACATCTGCATCTCTCGGTCACCAAATCTCGGACGCCCCACGTTCCGCAGCCGCAGCTGGGTGCCATGGCGAAGGCGAAGCTGGCGAAGCAGGACGCTGCTCACCTCAAAGAGGACCGAACCAAAAAGGATTTGGGTAAATTTCCGGTAAAGACTAGCAGCGGCACTCCTCATTCCCGGTACCACACATGATGCTTGACATTGGGGTTATCATTCGCTGTTTAGGTTATTTCAGATTTGTGAAAGCAATGAAGGGATTGTTGATGAAATGTTTGTGGGAATTGTTTGTATATTTGGGACTGCATCTCAAGCCTGAAATCGGAGATGTACAGTGATTTTTTGCGGTGCTTTAATCATGGATTGGTTAGGGGGTGTTGTAAGAATGGGGGATGCCCCAAGTTCTTGCCATTTTGGGACAACTTTGTCACGAAAGCTAGCTTCTGCTAGCTGAAGTCCCTCTTGCATCTCTTGCTTTAGCAAGTATGGGGGGAGCTGGAATCTCACATCGCATGAAACTCCCACCTTATTTCTCTTGTTCTTTGGGTCCTATGGCCGGAAGATCCCATGTGCACAATGTTGGTGGAAGGTCGGCTCCGTGGGTTTGTTGTTAAAAAAAAACTCCGTACTTAACATGGTTTTTCTACCCCCCCCCTCCGAGCCTCCCCCCCTGGCTGGTTCACAAGCAGTTTGGCCGTGGTTCAATCCCCCCCCCGGGGACACCGTTGGCATGTCGCCGGCAGCAAAAACGGCAGCATCTGCATCAGCATCATGTTTTCGTGCCAAGCTCCCTGCCAAGCTAGCTTTCGTCCCTTACCCCTGGGCCTCAAGTTCTTTAACCATGAGATAGAATAGGGTTCCCTATTTTCAGACAAACTTGTCCTGTCCTACAATGAACGGGGACGGGTTGGAGGAGCCAAAAATCACTTTTTCGAAAGGTATACAATAAAAGGACGTCTCAAGCAGAACCCCCAAAGTTGCGGATGAATTTAAAATCCCCACTTCACATCATCTCAAGCTCACATAGTCCGCACTTCACACCTTCTCAACTCTGCATAATCCCAACTTTCACACCATCCCAACTCCACAGCATCTCAACTTCATGCCATCTAAACTTCACAGCATCTCGTCTTCATGTCATGTCAACTTCACAGCATCTCAACTTCATGTAATCTAAACTTCACAGCATCTCAACTTCATGTCATCTAAACTTCACAGCATCTCAACTTCATGTCATCTCAACTTCACAGCATCTCAACTTCATGTCATCTAAACTTCACAGCATCTCGTCTTCATGTCATGTCAACTTCACAGCATCTCGTCTTCATGTCATGTCAACTTCACAGCATCTCAACTTCATGTAATCTAAACTTCACAGCATCTCAACTTCATGTCATCTAAACTTCACAGCATCTCAACTTCATGTCATCTAAACTTCACAGCATCTCAACTTCATGTCATCTAAACTTCACAGCATCTCAACTTCATGTCATCTAAACTTCACAGCATCTCAACTTCATGTCATCTAAACTTCACAGCATCTCAACTTCATGTCATCTAAACTTCACAGCATCTCAACTTCATGTCATCTAAACTTCACAGCATCTCAACTTCATGTCATCTAAACTTCACAGCATCTCAACTTCATGTCATCTAAACTTCACAGCATCTCAACTTCATGTCATCTAAACTTCACAGCATCTCAACTTCATGTCATCTCAACTTCACAGCATCTCAACTTCATGTCATCTAAACTTCACAGCATCTCAACTTCATGACATCTAAACTTCACAGCATCTCAACTTCATGTCATCTAAACTTCACAGCATCTCAACTTCATGTCATCTAAACTTCACAGCATCTCAACTTCATGTCATCTAAACTTCACAGCATCTTCACAGCTTCACAGCATCTCAACTTCACAGCATCTCAACTTCATGTAATCTAAACTTCACAGCATCAACTTCACAGCATCTCAACTTCATGTCATCTCAACTTCACAGCATCCCAACTTCATGTCATCTAAACTTCACAGCATCTCAACTTCATGTCATCTAAACTCACAGCACTTCAACTTCACAGCATCTCAACTTCATGTCATCTCAACTTCACAGCATCTAAACTTCACGGCATCTAAACTTCACAGCATCTCAACTTCATGTCATTTAAACTTCACAACATGTCAACTTTATGTCATCCAAGCTTCACAGCATCTCAACTTCATGTCATCTCAACTTCACAGCATCTCAACTTCATGTCATCTCAACTTCACAGCATCTCAACTTCATGTCATCTAAACTTCACAGCATCTCAACTTCATGTCATCTAAACTTCACAGCATCTCAACTTCATGTCATCTAAACTTCACAGCATCTCAATCACACACACCCTCGACATCACGTCGTTTCATGTTTTCTTGCAACTCAGTGAGTCTTTGCGCGGTGAAAATGCTGCATCAAGGTGCGGCGGGCGCATTTTCATGTTTTCGACTTGCTGCTGGCAGTGGCTTAACCATTGCGTCAAGGTGATCTCGATCAGTGTTGTTTTTTTTACTCTCATGCTTTGGTGTTTTTCAAGTCATGGCTCTTTTTCGCTCAGTTGAACTGCGTCCAGGTGACTCAGGTTGAAGTGCACTCTCGTGCTTTGTTTTTTTGCAATCTCTTGGTGACTTTGCACAATGGAATTGCTGCGTTGAAGGGGCCTTGAGTGTATGCGTGTTCTGTCGTGCTACTTTGTCCTTTGTCTTGCAACTCTATGAGACTTTGCACAGTGAACATGTTGCATCAAGGTGCATTTTCAGAGGTAGAAGTTACGTGCAACACTTCGTTTGTTCTTGTAAACGTGTTTAGGTGGTTGGTGGATGGTAGCGTCAGTTGCGCGGCAGTTGCGGTGGGCGTGTTTTCATGATCGAATCGTGTTCGCAGCCGCAGAACTAATGCGTCTTGAAGGTGATTTCTGTCGCTTTGCTGGGGAAGGTAAGGAGGTGTGGAGGCAAGGCGCAGAGACAGGCGTGCAGAGAGGCTCTCTTTACAATTTTCTCGCTTAAAAACATGGTTCCCAAAAACACAAAGACACAAAGAATGAAGATTGAACAATACAAATCCAGCCAAAAGGGGGAACCTTACTCAAAACCAGTTTTTCAAACCCAAGCATGAATTAAATGGCATTTTCGAAGCATCCGTTTTGGGCAGGTCAGGAATTCCCCCCATACCCCATTACCCCCACTCCCTCCACGGCACCAATGGCTCAGTATTTGGAGGTCTGGAAAACTAGAAAAAATAACAATGCAAATTTGTTTGAAAAAATGAAACTCAACCATATAAATACAGCCTTGTTTTTGCCTACGGCGCCATTAACGACCCCTGCGTTTTTGTCATTTTTGCTGATAGGATGCAAGTTGCTCTTGAAATTGATGCATGCGCAACTGACGTCACGTCACTGGGTTGGGGTGGGGTGGGGATGTTAATGTTCATGTCAACTTGCGTCATCACATGCACAACTGACGTCACGTCACTGGGAAGGGTGAGTTGAAAAATGAGTTTTGCTGAATGACTGGTGATCAGATGTGACTGAATCTGTCCAATAGAAGAAAAAAAACAATAATTCTTTTCAGACGTGTTGAAAATCGATGAACGTTCCACACGAAACGCACTTTTGGTAGTTGGCCCCAGTGTAACTGCGACTTGACGTTTTTATCACGTTTTTACAAAACCTTGCAAATACCATGATTTGGTGAACGAAGCATCATGTAAAATCCATGAGTTACCCCGGGTCGCTAACCGCGCCATAGCCTTGTTTTTCATTAGCGAATCTCCACAAACCATGCCGGCGATATATGATTTTTCCATATTTTTCCCCTCGTTTCCTCCTGATGTTCATGGAGACATCGCGAAAGTAGCAGTGCATGTATTCATCACTATGATATGACATCATCATCTCATCATCTGCGTTCTCCTGCTCCCCTACTCTTCCGCCTTTCCAAGATCATCAGCAGCAGTAGCAACATTGGTTTCATATTGATTCAGCATCTTCGTGAGCAAGGTACATTTCTTTCAACAAGAGATTTACGTATGCCTGCAACGATTTGTGTTTCAAACGATCATCTAGATGGGGGGAGTGGAGTTTCGACGCCTTATGACTGCTCCACAGACAGGTGAAGAAGTCAGGGTTTGTTTCTACGTCTTCTTGGTTCGACCATGTTCGACCCACCCTCCTAGCAATCGTTCCTTACCCTTTGGCCTCAAATTTCTAGCGACATGACACGACCGCCTTCCAAAAATAGTGCGGAAATCATGTTCT